ACTGCTTCTTTGTTTGCCACTACCCCTATGTTTCAATCACCTGAAAATTGTAAACGTTTGTTAAACTATAACATTGTATAATCAAAATTGATAATAAAAATCAGGAAAAGCAATGGGCCTAAAAAGAATCCCTGCGGTACACCACTGCTTACATTCACCCAATTAGAGCATAAAATGACATGTTGTATCCTGTTCATTAGCCAGTTCTCAAACTATGTGTGCATTGTGTGTGTGGATTGCTATAGCTTTTTATTTGAGGATTAATCTTTTTTGTGAACATTTTTATTAAATGTAATACTTCATAAATGTACCCATATACAAACCAAAACCCGTTTTTCACCACACAACACCCATTCCATCCTCTGACTTCTAATCAGTGGCACCCCCTCAATGTTTATGCATTTGCAATGCTTGTTCAAAGACTTCTAGTAGGGTTTCTGATAAACAAGGCCTTCTGTTTCTAAATTCATATTGAGTATCATCTATCTCTTAAAACGCAATTATAAGATTGTAAGAAGTAAGATCAATTGATTTATCCCTTGGTCGTTTTTGGACCACTTTGTATGAATTTGTGTTATATTTGCAGTTCTTCAATCTGTGGGTACAGTGTTCAAGTGAGTGGTACAATCTGTCATGAGAATTTAAATATTCAATGTTGGGGTCAACAAATTACATCTCTCATTTTGTAAAGTATTTATGGGAAAACAAAATCCGGCTCCAGTTATCTATTAAAGTCTTTTTAGCCAAGTAGAACCTCATTATTAGTTACAGTACTGTATGTAAAATGTAGTAGTGGAGCTCCTTCTACATTACGGGGGATGTTATGGACATCTTTCTGTGTAAAAACCTGTGAAAAATATTTATTTAGTATTACTTCTAATTGTTTTTTCATCTTACTTTATTAAATCCATTCATTTCTGATGAACTTCTTACCCACCCCATTTACAGTTATTTTAATAAAAATACTTTTCATTATTATTTTGTCTCTATCCTCCAGAGTCCACCTTCCTGCGGTACTTACACATTTAATAATACCACGTTCTTTTTGTTTTAATATAGAATTCGGATATCCTTCTTCATAAGTGCAGGTAGTTCAACATACTTTTTTTTTTAGATTTGAATTTGGGGCCCTTTTGCTGCAGTCTGGTAATAGAAACCCTGTAAGTCTTGCAAGAGAATAGATTCTCAAGGACAAGTGCACTTGTCAGCACATTTCCCTAGTAACATCGAAAGGACAGCAGTCTCTACTCGCAGGCTCTTAAAGGTTAAGAGAATAAGCTCCCTGGAGGGCTGGAAAGTACAGCTGAGATATTCTCAAAAATGTGAAAATGAAAATATAATCAACATGTGGTCAGCTAAAGCAAACACAAGAGGCTGAGTGTTCTTAGTGTGTGTTCTAGCGCAGAGGTTCTGCATGATCTAATGGATGCCTCAGAGTGTCAAAGAAGTCTTAAAACAATATAGGGTTTCAACAATGATTTAAAACTCAAGCACCATAGAGTATAGATATGATATAATACACAGTACATGCTCTAAGCAGATACGCATGAAGGCTATATTTTTTATTAAATAGTGCTTTAAAATTAAGGAAAAGGATAGTTTATGTGAAAGGTATACTAAATTATAAAGACTAAAGTGCTTCTTTTCAATGCTAAAACTGATGGTGGCCCATCTTTGCAGACAAAAGTACTCAGTGGTCAGTGTGTAGAGTTTGTGGAATATCTGGGATCACATATGGATCAGAGTTACACCGAGAATATAGACAACATTTATAAGAAAGAAAATCAGAGGCTGTTTTTAATTCAAAGACTGAAGAACTTTAAGTTTGGTCAAAATGTCTTAGAGATGGCATCTACAAGCCTTGTTGAGATCATCCTGGCATTTAACATGATAGTTTGCTATGGAAATCTGGGGTTAAAAGGCAAAACCCAACTGTCCATTTATGAAATGGATTGTGAAAAAGGCAGGAAAAATCATTTGAAACAGCAGCCCCAGCTCAGCAATTTACATCATAATAAAGTTCTCAGAATGACAAGGAGCATCATAGCTGAGTCCACACACCCTCTCAGTTCATAATACTCCCATCAGGAAGACGGTTTAGGGTACCAAATTTAAATAAAATATTCTTCCCTCTGCAATAAAACTGCTCAATGAATGTATGTACTGTAAATGTAGTCACCCCACTACTTTTTATTTATCCATTTATTTATGTATCACATACAGTTGTTGTGATTTCATGTACTTCATGTGATTTTCTGTTACTTTTATGTTTTGCTCGTGTGTTTTGTACATTTATGCGAGAAGCCAAAGACAAATTTCCACAGTAGTGGACAATAAAGTATCTGTCTTAAGAAGAAAATTAGATCTACTATATCAGCACAAACCCAGCGCACAACAGGACAAGAATGTAATATATTCTAGAGTACTATTTGTTATATTCAATTGCAATCTGAAATTTACATTGCATTAAATTATGAAACCTACCAAATTAAAAAATATTGAAGTGAAATGAACACTGTTGTGATAAAGTAACTTCCATGTCAAATGGCTTGAAAAATGCAATGAAAAAAAGTAATAACAATAACATTCCTAAAGGGAAGAAAAAAAAACACTAAGGCTTGGAAAAAGAGGAGAAAGCTCTGAGAATTTCATAAAAAATGTAATTTGGGAGGAAAATATTATCTTTTAGAAACTATTTAAACTCACTGAGAATGTTGATCAATCTTAACCAATGCTGAAAAGCTAGCGTATTTCTGCCGAGATAATCAGTTGATTTTTTGTTCTATAGCATTGTTTAATAACCAGACAAAGAGCTGAAAGGACAGAATAAAAAAAAAACATAAGAAAGGTTACAGAAGAGAGGAGACTATTGAGCCCATTTCATAGCTACTAACTAATATGGTAGATCCAAAGAACTCTTCAAATTGTTTCTTGAAAGACGTCAGGTGATGGGCCCATTGTTTGCCTTGTCTTGAATTTTACCTAAATCTTCTTGAATTTAGTTTCTTGTCTTGTCAGTTTTTCTGCCAACTTGATCGTACAATACAAAAGTATCAATGTATGAACTTAGAGCACTGATCTACAGTAAACTAGCCAGTGGTGTTCCAGTGTGCCCATTACTTTGTTTGTTAAGCAAGACCTTTCTGTTCAAAATCAATGTTCATCATCCCCTAGAATCCATATACAGTAGACCATCCTCTATTTTTTTCTAATTATTGTTTATATGACTTTTCTATAATGTTACTACTTCAAGACTTTGCAATGCTTCAGTTGAGGGATAGTTAATATTGGATCCTGGAGATTTATTAATGAGTGCTTCAAGTCCCTGAAACTACTTGAAACTTAAAACTTCTGCCTCTCCGAATTTATTACAGAACTCCATCCTTTCACAATCTGATCTGTATTGTTGAATTCGTTCTTAGCGAACACCTGAGTCGGTACTCATTTAGTATATCGACCGTTAACATTTCACTGTCTATATGTTTACCATTATAGTATAGTAAATGATACATTTTACTTAATCCTTTTTTATTAGTAGTATAATATCAAAAAATCTTTCCCTATTTATTTCAGCCCTCATTAAAATATTCCTTTCCTTCTCACTTCCATCCATTCATTTTCTAACCTCTTCAATTCAAGGATGCGAGGGAGCCAGAGTCTGACCTGGCAAGAAATGGGTGCAAGGCAGGGTACATCGAGGATAGGATGCCAGTCCATCGCAGGGTGGACACACAGATATGCACACATTCACATCTAGGGTCAATTTGCCCAGGATCCAAATAACCTTCCAGGATGTTTTCAGACTGTGAGAGAAAACCAGGATACCCGGAGGAAACCCACTCAAACACAGGGAGAACAAACAGACTTCATGCAGATAGCACTCCAGGTCCATAAAAGAACCAAATTCCCCAGTTCTGAAAGGCAGCAATGCTCATCACTGCACCACCATGTTGCCCTCTTTCCCTCTTTGCCTTTCTGATATCCCTTTTAACCCATGCTTTCAGTTCAAAATGCTACACATGGAAAATCTTAATTATACTTATTTACTTACTGTTGCTGTCTTTTATTGTCCCAGATAGGAGCTCAGATTCAATGTGCAAGGTGTGGTCATGATAGTCAATGCTTATCCTGGTATTCTGCATTGTTTGTTTGATGTAAATGTCTGACAGCTGTAGCTCTTGTACACCAATAATTTTGCTGGCTACCTTCACTATCCTATATACAGAAGGTCACTTACAAGAAAAAAAAAAGTTCAGTTAATTTTGCTTGTTCAATTTACACTTTAATTCCATACTCCATATTCTTTTGGAGTGTATTGCATATCATGAAAATTCCAGATCTACAGGTGCTTACTTCAATAACTGACATAAAGGTTGAAACAGTAGTTCTGTCTACACACTGGATGGGCCACTAAAGACAGAAGTAGTAGCTATTTTATAAGACCCTGTTCTGAAATGTACAGCTTTTATTATAATAATAATAATAATTGCTTACACTTATATAGCGCTTTTCTGGACACTCCAGTCAAAGCGCTTTACAGGTAATGGGGACTCCCCTCCTCCACCACCAATGTGCAGCATCCACCTGGATGATGCGACGGCAGCCATAGTGCGCCAGAACGTTCACCACACACCAGCTCTCAGTGGGGAGGAGAGCAGAGTAATGTAGCCAATTCATAGAGGGGGATTATTAGGAGGCTATGATTGGTAAGGGCCAATGGGAAATTTGGCCAGGACGCCGGGGTTACACCCCTACTCTTTTCGAGTAACGCCCTGGGATTTTTTAATGACCACAGAGAGTCAGGACCTTGGTTTTACGTCTCATCCGAAGGACGGCGCCTGTTTACAGTATAGTGTCCCCGTCACTATACTGGGGCATTAGGACCCACATGGACCGCAGGGTGAGCGCCCCCTGCTGGCCCCACTAACACCAATTGGGCCTCCTCAAAGTAATATTGTCCAGGCCTTGCTGAAAATTAAACTCTGAACATGATTACTTACAATCCAAGTCATACCTCAACCCAGGACATCATGGTGAATGGGACGGGAAGTGAATGAGTGTGATCTGACAAATACAAACATATCACAAAAACCTGCATATAAAACATGATATCAGTGAAGAGTGAATTAAAAAAATAATGCTCTATAATTGTACTTATATGATTCTGAGCACTTCAACTCTTGGATCTGTACTTGAATATATGAACTCTTTCACATTGAAAAGAGGGATTACATGGCAGTTGGGTCTCTGTTTATAGAAATTAATAAAAACGTTTGCCCATAAAAGACTTTAATTCTTCACCATATACACCCTGTCCAATCCTGCAGTCTGGAAATTAAATATTTTGGAAGTCACAGCATGAGGTTCCATAAAACTCCAAAACTTCAAATCAGGCTGTCAAATGCATATCATAAATATGTCACTTAAGAAAGGGGGCTTTGATCATTCTGTTATAAATTAGGATTTTAAATTCTTAAAGAAATATTTTAAAATAAGAACGATGATCTTTGTACTCCTCCACCATACAGTATATTTTGTCTGAAACAAGCAGTGAGTGGCTTTAGTTTTACAGATAAATAACAAGTGCCTCACTGGCAGTTTTGAATAGTGTGAGACACTGGTTTTAAACAGGGGGACCCATGCATTTGCTTACTGTTTATTGATCGGATGATGCTGATCAACAATCTTTTAGAGTTCTACAAATATTGCCTTACCTGTGGGCATTTTCATATAACACTCCTGTCATCCTGAGATTTCTTCATACTGTTGCTGTATTACAGGAGTTCCCTCCACAAACATCTGTAAATGTTTTTTTAAGAAAAAAGGAATGTGAAGTCTTCATTCTGCTTAACTCAACCTGCACATTAATATATTGTTACTAGTGCACTAACACTTGAAATTCCCAATTCAGATTTTTTTGTTTAGCTGGGTAAAGCATCAGTTACTTGGCTATAATCTGTCAATATTCTTAGTGAAATTTCAGGGAACACTGGAAGAAGACTATGCTTAACTAGTTTCTAGTCAAAATATGGCTCATAACTTTGCAAACTAAGTTGCCCAAAATACTGTATACAGTATATTTTTACTCAGATGACTTGAATCAACGGAGTAACAGTTCAAAATAGCTTATCAAAGTTGTTAAGAATATATATTTTTATGTCCAGCAGTCTCTCCAGCTGGGAAAAAGGAAAAGGTGCTGGAATCAATATCTGAGATTTGACAAGTGCCAGCAGTCAGCTTGGTGTTTGAAGAGGACGAAACTACCTCATTCTCATTGTGCTGTATCAGAAACCTCTACATCAATGAAAATGAGACTGTAACAAAGTGCAATTTTAACTTAAGATAAAAGACAACAACTTTAGAATAGCATTCAAACACTATTAATACAATCTACATAAATCCAAGCACTTCGGTAGTGTGTGTCAACATACAGTATCGTTTAAAATACAGTACTGTAAATTTTTTCTTATGTTCAGCCTTTAAGAAGCTACAGTACATGTAAATCGATATTGCTAGAAAGGGAAAAAAAACAGCACAGTGCATTCACAAAGAACAGGTCTTATGAAAATAGAGGTGCATTTTACATTATAGAGAAAGATGAAAGGTTATGAAGAAATAAAAGGAAGAACCAAGTGAGACGTGTTACATCAGGACTGTTGTTTAAACAGTTCTATTTGATCACAGCCCTGTGTTTGAAATGAAGGCATTAAACTCATTGCGGAAGTTTGAACAAATATAACTACAGCAAGGATAGATACTACAACTGTAACATCCCCCACGAGCCTTATGCAGTGTAAAGGAATTCAATCCAGCACTGTTTAGCTATAGAAAATCATAGCCATCATTCTGGTTGGAGATTTTACCTCCTAATGTTTCACATCATGCTACATGAAAAATAACAGCATGTCTGCATAGCATTTGATTTTTATACCTATTATGAACCATAGTCGTTACTTGAAAGTGAAAATCCAGTACCGTTCTTGCAATTCGTCTGCTCTCTTTAAGAGGTGGGATCTGCCTTCCCCAGGAAGTATTCTCTGAGTGAAATCCAGATTTCTTGAGACTGCGGTTTAGTTGTCCACGTCTTTCCTGGAAAAAAAGCAAAATGGAACCGAGGACGGTGTTCTGCGTTTTCGTTCTATTTTTCTTCACAGGGACGTTTTCAGAAGATGTTATGGGCTCGAACGTCAAGAGGGGACCCAAAGTAACAGCAAAGGTGGGTTCTGCTTGAATGCTTACTGTATTTTATTATGACATCTTGGAACCGCTAAACCACCTA